GCTGCTGCTGCTGCTGAAGACCCTCTTCGCCTTGAAGCTCCTCAGCCAGTCTTCTCAGCCTTTCAGCCAGGGCTCTGCGCTTCTCCATGGACACTCCCATTTGCTGCTGCTGCCCTGCTGTTGCTCTCACAGCAGCAGCAGCAGCTGCTGCTGCAAGTGCTGCACTGGCAGCAGCAGCAGCACTATCTTCCTCGTGGCCCTCCGGGTCTGCTGCAGGCACCCCAAAGATGCGCTGCAGCGTCCTGAGCAGCAGCAAATCGCAGCAGCAGCAAGCACTCAAGCAGCGAATGCAATCGCAGCAGCAGCAGCAGCAGCAGCAGCAGCAGCAGCATAAGAAGTGCAGCAGGCTGGAATCTTACAGCTCCAACGCAGTAAACTGCCCACAGGCTTGCTGCGGGTGCTGCTGCTGCTGCTGCTGCTGTTGCGCCTTCTTTTGGTGGGCATTCTTCGGACTCCTGTCGGCTTGCTGCTGCTGCTGCTGCTGCTGCTGCTGCTGCTGCGGGTTCTGCTGCTGCTCGAAGGAATTAGAATGACCTTCGGCATCATCGCCTTTACGTGGCCCATGCCTGCTGCTTCTCCTTGCTGCTGCTGCTGCTGCTGCTGCTGCTGCAGTGGGTAGACGCAGCTTCTGTCTGGCTTGCTGCTGCGGCGACAGCTCTCTGCTGCTCTCTGCTGCTGAAGCCGGCGAACTGGGAGACCTGCTGCTGCTGCTGCTGCTGCAGCTGCTGCTCTTGGGGCGCGCTGCAGCAAAGACACCAGCAAGCTGCTGCCTCCGTCTCATGGACAACTGTCTTCTTGAAGGAGAAGTCAGCCGCCTGCTGCTGCGCCCCTCCTGCGCTATTGCTGCTGCTGCTGCTGCTGCTGCTGCTGCTGCTGGCGACGTAGCCCTTAGCTGGATACTCCGCTGCTGCAGCTGCTGCTGCTTCTGCTGCACAAGAAGCAGCTGCTGCTGCAGCAGCTCTTCCATGTCCTCCTCTTCCCCCAGCAGCTGCTGCTGCTTGGGGGTGGGGGCAAAAGGCAAATCAGAAGGAGCCATTTCACTCTCTAGCTGCGCTAAAAGCTGCTGCTGCTGCTGCTGCTGCTGCTCTCGCTGCTGCTGCTGCAGCCGTTGGTGCTTCTGCTGCTCCAGCAGCAGCTGCTGCAGCAAAGCTTCCTCTGCGTCGTCAGCTTCCAGCCACCGCTGCTGCTGCCGAGAAGCGCCGCAAAGGAAAGCTTTCTCGGAAGCAGCCAAAGTGCTCTCCTGCTGCAGCTGCATGCGCTTGTGCTGCTGCTGCTTCTGCTGCAGCAGCAGATCATGCTGGTGCTGCTGCTGCGTCTGCTGCAGCAGCAGGTCGCGCGGGTGCTGCTGCTGCGTCTGCTGCAGCAGAAGGCAGCGCTGGTGCTGCTGCTGCGTCTGCTGCAGCAGGAGATCGCGCTGGCGCTGCTGCTGCCTCTGCTGCAGAGGCAGGTCGTGCTGCTGCTGCTGCAGCAGCAAGTTGTGCTGGTGCTGCTGCTGCCTCTGCTGCAGCAGCAGGTCGTGCCTCCTGACTTGACCCTCGAGCAGCAGCTCTTCTTCGGAAATGAGGAGGGGCTTGATGATTTGCATGATGCTGCCTGCGTGAGCTGCTGCAGCAGAAGTCCTTGCAGCAGCAGCTGCTGCAGCAGATGTCCTTGCAGCAGCAGCTGCTGCAGCAGAAGCCCCTGCAGCAGCAGCTGCTGCAGCAGGGCTGGCAGCTGTGCTGCAGCGGCGCCGCTGAGGAGAAGGACAAATCCCAGCAGCAGCAACAGGATTACTTGGGGAGTGTTCTTTTCTGTTTAAGTGGGGCCGTGCAGCAGCAGCTGCTGCAGCAGGAGCAGCAGGAGCAGCAGGAGCTGAAGCAGCAGCAGCGGCGCACTGCTGCTGCTGCTGCTCTTCCACGGAGGAAGTGCTGCTGCTGCGTTGGCCGCAGCTGCGAGTGCGCTGCCGCAGGCCAGCAGCAGCAGATTCGCTCCTGTGAGTCAACTTTCCCTTGCTGCTGCTGCTGCTGCTGCTGCTGCTGCTGCTGCTCTGCAAGTGGCTGCTGGCCCGTAGCCGCAGCAGGCGGCGCCGCAGAAGCGCGTATATCTCAGGTGTATATACAGCTGCTTCAGGAGGAGCGTCTTGTGCTGCTGCTGCTGCTGCTGCTGCTGGAGAAGAAAGAGCTGCTGCAGCTGCTGCAGCAAAAGCTTTGCTGCTGCTGCTGCTGTTCGGCTCGTCTGCAGCGCTGGGGCTGGCTGTCAGTGCTGCTGCTCCTGCTGCTGCTTCTGCTGCTGCTGCTTCTGCTGCTGCTGCTGCTGCTGCTGCTGCAGCGCCGGCTGGCAGGCAGGCGTCCAGCCACAGCAGCACCCACCTCGCAAGTTCATCTGCTTCTGAAAAGAAAAGAAAAGAAGCAGCAGCTGCAAAGGCTGCTGGAGTCTTTGCTGCTAACTGCGCTGCGCCTACCTCTGCTGCTGCTGCTGCTGCTGCTGCTGCTGCTGCTGCTGCTGCTGCTGCTGCTGCGTACCTAGCATCAAGCAGAGCAAAAGCAGGCGAGGAGCCTCCTCTTGAGTGAAGCCGATCTTCTCTGCTATCGACAGCTCCATAGAAAAGGCAGCAGCAGGACTGTCTGCTGCTGCTGCTGCTGCTGCTGCTGCTGCACCTGGTCTAGCTGCTGCTGCTGCTTGCAGCGAGGCGTCTTCTCCAGCTGCTGGCTTTGGCGGCAGAGAACATAAGCAAGCGAGCTGCAGCAGCAGCAGCAGCAGCAGTCAGTGGACACGCAGCAAAGGCAGCAGAATAAGGGGAGAGCAGCAGCAGCAGCAGCAGCAGCCGTTGCTGCTGCTGCTGCAGTTGCTGCTGCAGCAGCAAAGAGGGCTCACCTGGATCCAGGCGTCCCTGAGCTCGTCCAAGTGCTTCGCGTCTGCTGCAGCAAACTGCAGCACCGTTTTCAGCAGCTGCTGCTGCATCTCGACTTCCCCAGTGGACCAGTGGTCCATCAGACTCCAAACTTTGATCTTTTGCTGCTGCTGCAGCTGCTGCAGCTGCTGCTCCTCCTGGCTGGCGAGGGCCTGCAGCTGCTCCAGCGAGTGCACGAAGGAGTCCACTCTCCGGAGAGCAGCAGCAAAGTGGAGTTGCTGCTGCTGCAGCTGCTGCTGCAGCTGCTCGCCGTTCCGCACTTGCTGCAGCAGCCCAGCAGCAGCAGCATGCGTTTCCCCTGCCAGCCTCGAAATGGAAACATAGCAGTTCGTGATCTTCTCCAGCCTCTCCTTCGCTCCCCAGCTGCTGCTGCTGCTGCTGCTGCTGCTGCTGCTGCTGCTGCTGCTGCTGCTGCTTCTGCTGCGGATGAAGCGAGTCTTCGCCAGCTGCTGCTGCTGCTCCTCCAGCTCCGCCCGCAGCCCCTGCAAAGTCCTCAGGGCTTCTCCGAGCCTTTGCCGAAGCGACTGGCCCTGGCCCCCTGCGCGCACAAGCCCCGCCCCACAATGCGCAGCTGCAGCAGCAGCAGCAGCAGCAGCAGCAAAAGCAGCAGCAGCAGCAGCAGCAGCAGAAGCAGCAGCAGCAGCCGCAGCAGCAGAAGCAACAGCCTGGCAGCAGCAGCAGCAGCAGCAGAAGCAACAGCCTGGCGGCAGCGGCAGCAGAAAGAGCAGGAGCAGCAGCGCAAGCAGCACCCTGGCAGCAGCAGCGGCAGCAGCAGCAGCAGCAGCAGCAGCAGCAGCAGCAGTTGAGTACATCTTTTTCGCGAGAGCTCCTGCAGCAGCCGCGGCAAAAGAGCAGCAGTTTGCGCAAAGTCGACGAGGCGAAGAAAAGAAAGCCAAGTGGAAATCCCCGCGGCACTCTGCAGCAAATTGCGAGAGGCCTGCAGCAAACAGAACAGCCAGCAGCAGCAGCACAGCAACTAGCGCTGAAGCAGCAGCAGCAGCAGCAGCAGCAGCAGCAGCAGCAACAGCAGCAGCAGCAGCTCCTGCAGCTGTTGCTGCCGTTGCTGCTGCTGCACAAGCAGCAGCTGCAGAGCACCACGCCAGTAACCAGCGCTGAAGCAGCAGCAGCAGCAACGACAGCAGCAGCAGCAGCAGCAGCAGCGGCAGCAGCAGCTGCTGCTGCTGCTGCCAACAAAGCAACCAAGAGGCAGCTCAAGAGAGGGGAAAACGAAAATAATAAAACAAAATTCTTAAATGGCAAAAAGCTGCTGCTGCAGTCAAGAGAAGCAGCAGCAAAAGCTGCTGCTGCAGTCAAGAGAAGCAGCAGCAAAAGCTGCTGCTGCAGTGCTGCGGCCTTACAGCACTTAAGGAGCGCCACGCAGGCAAAGCCCCGTCCATAAGCTCTTCGTAGCCAACCACCCAGCACCGGGGGCCCCCGCTGCTGCTGCTGCTGCTGCTGCTGCTGCTGCTGCTGCTGCTGCTGCTGCTGCTGCTGCTGCTGCTGCTGCTGCTGGGGCTTGTTGCGGCGAGTGCAGCGCCTCTGGCCCTGGCAGCAGCAAGAACAGGCGAGCGCCGCAGCAGCGGCTTCAGCTGCTGGACAGCCATGGGGGGGCTGTGGGGCGTCTTTGCTGCTGCTGCTGCTGCTGCTGCTGCTGCTGTTGCTGAGGCTTCATATGCGGAAGCAGCAACGCGCAGCAGCAAAGAGGCGCTGCCCTGCTGCCGCGCGCCAGCCAGCAGCAGCAAACCAGCAGCAGAGCCCTCAGCCACAAATTCCAAATAAGCCACTTCGCCTGAAAAGCCCTCAGTGACAATGCAGCTCAGCGGCTGCTGCTGCGGCAGCGCGCTGCTGCTGCTGCTGCTGCTGCTGCTGCTGCTGCTGCTCCGCGGGCAGCAGACAGGCGCTGCCTGCTGCTCTTGGAAGCTGCAAGGGCTGCAGACAGCGGCGCTGCTGCTGAGGCCTGGGAGCAGCGGGGGCCCGCAGCAGGGCTGCTGCTGCGGGCTGCAGCAGCAGCAGCTTTCGCCTCCATTTCCCATTTGCTGCTGGGGTTCGAGGGGGCTCTGCGTGCTGCTGCTGCGCTGCTGCTGCTGCTGCTGCTGCTGCCAGCGCCTCCGAGTCCCCGTGTTGCTGCTGAAGCTGCTCAGAAGAAGAAGAGAAGAGGCTGTCTTGGCTGGCGAGTCTTTCGCCGCCGACGGAAGAAGCAGCAGTGCTGCTGGATCTTTGCCGATTTTGCTGCTCTTGGAGCGAAATTTGTTGAAATTTAAAGTTTAAAATATCTTTTGCTGCCATTTTTGAGTTGAAGTTTGAAGTTGGAGGTCCAGAGAGCAGCAGAGGCAGCAGCGCAGCGTCGGCCGGCAACGCGGGAGGCTCACATTGGTCTCGGCGGACACGCAGCAGCAGCAGCAGCAGCAGCAGCAGCAGCAGCAGCAGCAGCAGCAGCAGCAGCAGCAGCAGCCATTGAGTGGGTGTGAGGCTGCAATGGGGGAAGTTGGAAGCTTTGGATGCCAAAACGCCAGAAGCCGCCAAGACAACGCGCAGCGGAAAAGGCAGAAGCTGCTGCTGCAGCGCGAAGCACTACAAAGGGGCGCCCGCAAAAGCCCTTTTGAAGCTGCAACATTTATTATTTTGCAAATAAAGCATTTTAAGAAAGTTTAAAACTAAATAAACTTTGCTGCTGCAGCAGACAGCGCAGCGTGTTGGGGCCAGGTGTGCCCCAGTCCGTGGGCTTCCTGCACCGGTGGCTAGCTGTGCCGCCGGCGCAGCGCAGCCCGGCCAAACTTAACCGGAAAAACTCCAATTTTCTCTTTTTAATGCTTTATTTGTTTCTTTTGGAGTTTATTGAGCTCGAAGACGCCGCTGGAGGCAGCAGGGAAAGCCAGCAGCGGCGGGCGAGGCCGCAACTCGCGGGAGCTGCAGACACGGCGGCGGGAGATCCAGGCGGCGGGAAGCCAGCTGGCGGGCCTGGAACGGAAACAAACTCCGACGCATTGTCGAATAAAAAGTCAAATAATAACAAAGTGGATTTCAAAGGGAAATTTTGCTGTTCTTTTCCGCACACAAAGTCCATTTTCAATGAACAGCCGCAGCCGCAGTCCGCCCCAGCAGCCCGCAGCAGCGCAGAAGCCAGCGGGCCGCAGCAGCAGCAAAACGAAACACCCTTCGCGTTTTTAATGCGAAAAAGCAATTATGTTTAATTAATTAATTCAAAAAGAAAACAGATTTGCAGATAAGCCAATAAATGCGCGGGATTCTGCGCCCCTCCAAGCTGCTGCCGCCAGGCCGCCCGCCGCCTCCCGCGGCTCCGCAGCAGCAGATCTGCACACTTCCCCTTCGCCTCTTCGCCAGAAGAATTCAAAAGGAAAATTAATTCAAAAAAGGAAAATTAATTCAAAAATGAAAAGCAATTCATTTTATTATTTGCAGAAACACTGCGCACGCGCTGCAGCCAACAGCAGGCGCAGGCGAAGCAGTTTGCTGCTGCTGCTGCTGCTGCTGCAGGATCTGCTGCCAGCAGGCAGCAGCCAGAGCCCCCGCCAGCACTTTAGCTGTTTCGCAGCAGCAATTGAACAAAAAGGTTCTTTTTCGTTTGAAAAAACTTATTTTGCATTTTTAATTCTCTTCAATTCTTCAAAAAGATGAATTTCTCGCATTCTACGCTCCACTCCGCGCGGGGTTGGTGTAGTGGTTATCACGTCTGCTTTACACGCAGAAGGCCGCGGGTTCGAACCCCGCACCCCGTACGCGTTTCTGCTGTTGCTGCTGCTGCTGCTGCTGTTGCTGCTGTTGCTGCTGCTGCTGTTGCTGCTGCTGCTGTTGCTGCTGCTGCTGCTGCTGCTGTTGCTGCTGCTGCGGTGCAGCGGCGTCTTTGCTGCAGCAGCAAAGACGCCGCTGCACCGCAGCAGCAGCAACAGCGTCTTTGCTGCAGCAGCTTCGCTGCAGCAGCAAAGGCGTTCGCCTTTATTCAGAAGCCTCTGGGTCAGTTCTTGGGACTTAGAGTAGAAGTCTGCATTCTAATTGCTTCTAGAGTTAAGCATTTGCCTTTGCTGCAGCACAAAGCTGCAGCAAAAGGCCGCAGCAAAATGCTTGCTGCAGCATTTTGCTGCAGCAAAATGCTGCAGCAAAAGGCTGCAGCAAAAGGCTGCAGCACAAGTGACCTAGAGCGGAAGTTTGAAGCAAAAGTTGCAGAAAGAAAACAGAAATAAACACAAGTGCCCTTTGGGGCCTCGAGAGAGGCTGCAGCAAAGAACTGTAGATGCTGCTGTGTCTGGCAGCAACTTCGTGCGCTGCAGCTGCTGCTGCTGCTGCTGCAGGTACTGCTGCTGCTGCTGCCGCTGCGTTTGCTGCCGCTGCTGGCAGGTGCTGCTGCCGCTGCAGCGGCCCCACAGCCCCGCAGCAATTTCCCTTGGCCGTAGTTACGCTGGCGAAACTGCAGCCTGAAGTCCTGCTTCAGATTTTGCTGCAGCTTCCGCTGCTGCTGCTGCTGCTGCTGCTGCTGCTGCTGCTGGGCCTGCCGCTTCCCTGGGAAGTACTGCGGCCAGCAATCCGCTGCTGCTGCTGCTACTGCTGCTGCTGCTGCTGCCTGCTGTTGCAAGGCTGTGGGGAGATCCCCCGCG